TCTCATAGGAGTAGGCGACGTTGAGGTTGGTGGAGGAGAGGACCCCTATTTGGTCGGCATCTTCAACACCAAATACGTGTAGTGAGGCACGGCCATAAACTTGGCAAGGGTTGGTCGGTCGAGCAAGGATGGCGTGGTATGCCATGTTGAAATTGGCAACCAGGAAGTTAACATAGTCGACACGGAAGTGCTTGGCGGTGCCGAATTGTACCAGCAGTGTAATATGTCCCAAAGGCAAGGATGCTTTACTAGAAATGATCCCCTAGAATGGAGAGTCCATGGGGTAAGGTCTTCTTTCTTGATCCCTAGCTCCTCTAGGGATCTAGTGAACAGGATGTTGAGGGTGCTCCCTCCGTTGATGAGGACCTTCTAAAAGCGCACGTCCTTGATAATAGGGTCTAGGACGAGCAGGAAAAGCCCTGGATATGGGATGTCCGACCACTGGTCGGCCCTAGTGAATGTGATCGGGTGCACCGACCAGTCGAGGTACTTGGTATCGGCGATGGGGCCATCATATGTAGCGACCAACATGACATGTCGGGCTACAAGCTTCTGCTCGCGCTTGTCTTCAAAGATAGCTCTCCCACCAAAGATGGTGGCAATGGTCTTGGTGGGGTCTTGGAAGGTTGGGCCCTTGTTCTTGCCTCGTTCTCCACCTAGACCATCTTCGGTCTCGTCGTCGTCGCGTTGTGGCCTTTTTGATGATTCGCCACCGAGCGCTGTCTTCGGGCCTCTGCATTCCCGCATGGTGTGCTTGCCATCCTTGTGGATAGGGCATGGGCCGTCTAGTAGCTTACCGAAATCAGCATCATAAGTGCGCTTGGCATGGGAGTTGACGGTGTTGATGGAGTTATCAGGCCGGCGACGACGGCCTTGTCTGCCTCTCGAGCTGTCCGGGCGGTCGTCACACCGGGGCTCGCTGTCATCATGACGGCGGTACCAGAGATGTCCTCGGCATCGGGTATGTTAGGAACGGGGTTTCTTGTCTCCGAGAAGCGCCTGATGAAGTCGCGTAGGGATTCCCCAGGATACTGATGAAGCTTCTCTAGGTCAAACTTGGTGCCGGGTTGTTCGCATGTAGCCATATAGTTATCGGTGAAGGATTTCTTGAGGTCATCCCAAGATCGGATGGAGTTCTCCTATAGGCTTAGGAGCTAATTATTCGCATACTGGTTAAGCATGACAGGTCGATAGTTCACCATGACATCCTTGTCTCTGCCTACAACTCTCATGGTGATCTCGTATAGAGTTAGCCACTGAGCGGGGTTGGCCTTTCTGTCATAGGTATTAACACCAAGGACCTTGAAACCCATAGGCCACCGGACAGCTCGGAGCCTTTCCTTGAAGGGGCGAAGTCCTGATGCGCCGACGGGAAGTGGAGCTTGACGGGTAGCAAATCCATCTCTGCGTCGTAGCATGCAGCCCTACTATTTTCGATGCGGCCGCGGACATCTGTGCCAGCATTGATGTGGTCACGAAGGTCGCGAGAGGGGGGGTGATTGACCTTCTGGTTGCGGTTGCCGCCCCGACCTCCCTGGGGGCGTGGTGGATGGCCATCGTGGCGTGAATGAGCTTCATGGTTGCTTCTAGATCCTCTATAAAGGTAGGGACCCCTAGCCTGAGGTTGGGGACTGTCAGCGCCGTGGTGCTAGCCTCCGCCATCGCAATGAGAGCGGTGGCTTCGGGCTGATGCGGTGGAATAAGATGGGGCATCATTCCGGAACTCGTTGACTTGGACCTGCACCGCTATGATATGCGCTTGAACCTTCTCGACCTCTGGAGTGTGAGGGAGTTTGTCGAGCTCGTTGAACGCGACGGCCAGATTAGCGCTTGGAGTTTGGTAAACTGGATGGTCGCCCACCATGTTGAATGCCTCCTCCAGATTGCATTGATGGTGAGGTGGACAGCGACCATCCTCGGGGGCCTCTTGAGCTGCTTCTCCATCTCGGTGATGTTGGTGATCGGCATTCTTTGCCAGACGAGCCGCGCGCTCTTCAGTAGTTTCGGCATCCTTGGAGGCGCTACCATGACTGGCGTGGAAAATAATGCCCCTGAACCCTGGAGGGAAAGTAGGGCAACTCGGCTCGGTCTGTGTTGAGCCCTCAGAGTAGTCGTCGGGGCTCTCATCCAGAACGTTATGAAGAGATTTGGTTGGGAGAGAGGGATCATCCGAAAGCTTGTGGAGAGCCACCATGTTGACCACGGGCGCGGGCTAACCGGAGTCAGTTGGGTTGATCATGTAGAGGTCGGTGACGTGGTCACACTCGATGTGATCGACAAAAAGGTGGTGGATGGCGTTCTGGTACACAGATCCCGCACCCTCCAGCCCAAAAGGATAGGGCTTCGGCGGGTCCTCCATCGGGGCCTCGTAGTCGGCCAAATGTAGGCCGGTGGCGGGAAGTGGTCGGCGTCGCACCGTGCGCCCTTCTGGAGTAGCCGTGATCACCAGACCGGAATCTGGCCGCCTTGAACGGTGTGGCCGAGCAGGTCGCTCGGTTGCAGCGGCTTGGTGATCTTGGAGTGCGGGAAATTCGTCGCTCGCTCTGGATTGATCTAAGACCGAATCCACGAGGAGCTGACATTCCATTAAGCGGTCCGTGGCCTGATCGATAGATGCGATCAGATCATCGTTGCTGATGGATCTCTTAACCCAGCGACGGGGCGCCAGGATCGGAGATGTCGCTGCAGGTGTTGGCGCGATCGGTGCAGGACTATCCTGCACCGCCTCCATGATCTCCCCCGTTGCCGTCGGGGCCGATGACCCAGATCATGGATCCGACCGTGAAGACCTGGCCCGACTCTGGAAAGGCCATGGAGCTCGAAAAGGTGACCATCTGATTCGCCATGGATTCAGCACACACACCCCCTACCTGGCGCGCCACTGTCGACGAAATACGTCCGGTAGTCTACCGAGGGGTATGCCCACGGTAGTAAATGAATCGGTGAAGATGCGCGTGAGGGGGCCGGATGGTGACACAGAACGCAAGAGACAGCGATTAGACAAGTTCGGACCGTCGGCTTGACGTAATACCCTACGTCCTTTGTTTTTGTGGATTGTATTGCTTATGATTCGATGAAAATGAGGGGGGTCTCTACCCGCCTTATATAGCTCGGGGATAGGATTATAGATCGGTTGTTTCTATCCTGATCGGTTTTACAAGATAGGAAGTTACATATATCACGGGATCTAGTGTATCCGAGCAGGTCTTCTAGATCGCCGGAAATCTTCATGTAGTCTTGCGAGGCACGCTAACCGGTATCACGCCTTGTACAGCATGGTCTTGCGAGCTGGGCCTCCACTAATGGCGTGACCCAGGCACGGTCTTGTGGGCTGGGTCACCTCTAGTGGTGCGGTCTATGTCTTGTCGTGTGGGTATCGGAGGTCACACCCCACGGATATCCATTTCCATTTTCCATCCTTAGCGATAGCTACCCTCTGCCTGTTTTGTCTACCAACACCACGAAACAAAAACTGACGCACGGCTGTGACTTCCAGTTTTAGCCGTTTGTAGAGCTGGACATACCCATAGGATGAAAAGTGCATGCCATGGCACCCTACACTCATGTACGAGCCGAGTAGGCAGATATCAAGTCTGTGACTGTATCGTAGGCTCGTAGTTATCGAGGGCATGGGGAGGGAGTTTGAGAGTGTTTTATTACTACGATGCCCTGATTTTGGTGGTTAGCTGTATTACAGGGAAATGACAGTGACGTTGGTGATCCCATAAATGTGTGCTTCACTCTTTATGCAGACATTTATCCAGTGAGTGATTGTGGCTAATAATATATTTTACCTCCCGTCAGAACTCAGAGACATTTAGGGTTTCGTCACGTGTAGCAGACCAGTTTTTTATCGCGTTGAAACCCTAAATCGACGTCCGTGACTGGATTCTAGATTCGAAGAAAACTTGATTTAAATAAATCTTCCAAAAAAGAAGACTTGATTTAAGATAGTTATATAATCACAAATACCACTCGTGGATAATGGCGTTTATGGCACCTCCAAGCTGACGCATATTTAGGCCAAAAAGAGTAGTCCCTGACGACGCTTCTGGCTCAGCCTGGGCACTTTTTTACCGAAAACCGAACACCGAACCGAACCGAATAGTCGGTAGTTTAGTTTTTCGGTTCGGTTTCGGTTTTCAGTTATGTGAAGTTCGGTTTTTCGGTTCGGTTTTGGTTTCTATGCCATACCGAACCGAAAAACCGAAATCCGAGAAACCTGTTTTTTTTTTCCTGTTGTTTATCAAAACTGATGGAGTACTGTGGTTTATTATCAAGAATGAACTATAAATTTGTAATATTTGATTTGAACATTGAATTGTTAAGTTTGTAACAGTCTTGAGTCTTCAAATAATATAATTTTGTCTTTGTGCAAGTTTGTTTGTGTTGTAGTTGTGGGTTCTAAGTCCTGTCTAATATTCGGTTTATTTGGTTTTAACCGAAAAACCGAATTAAAAAACCAAACCGAAATTGGTCGGTTTTTAGAATTTTAGCAAACCGATCGGGAGTCATTTTCTGAAAACCAAAATTTTGAAAAACCGAAAAAACCAAACCGAACCGTGAGTTAAAACCGAACGCCCAGGCTGACTTCTGGCGCAGCGTAAGGTCAAAATTCCTGCAGCATCGGCATTTGAAGCTAGCCATTATCACTACTCTGATATTTTGTCAGGGACGAAGCGGCAGCAAGCCGGGTAGCCAGCAACTTTCATATTTCAAGGATCTCAGTTTCATCAATACGATAAAAAGCTAGTCTGCTACACGTGACCAAACCTGCTACATGGCTGAGTGTCTAAACCAGCCAGCGTTCTTTGGTCACGGCAAGGTGGACGATGTAGTCAAAAGATGCTCAAGGCGAGCAGAGATGGAAAAGCCTGGCAGACATATATATATATATATATATATATATATATATATATATATATATATATATATATATATATATATATATATATATATATATATATTATATGGTTGACAAGAGCCGTATGGCTATATCTCTACATGATTGTACATGCCCTTGGGGGGCGCACGTCTCGCGGAGACATTGAGGGGTCAAGAAGCGCCTCACCTGATAAACGATAACGGCGTCCTGTCTTGCAGTAAAAGGCGAAGTCGAAGCAGTTATTGAGCGCAAGGTCATAAGTGCCGAAGTCGCCGTGGTCAAGCAGGTCGTTGGCGACGTACAAGACCTTCTCGGGGTGCTCTTCAGGTAACACGGAGCTGGTGTCTTGAACACCAATATTGGTCAGTGTCCAGAACCACTCAGGCACCGAGTAGGCGAAGAGGTGAAGATTATTTCCTTCTAGGAAGCAGTCAAGGCAGCAGGCGACAACACCGCCTTCACGCATAGCTTTGCGGCACTTCGAGCAGAAGGGAAAAGAGGAGGAGGAGGAGGAGGACGACGACGACGACGACGCTGAAAAGCCAGAGGAGCCATCGTTGGTGAAGTGGATCACCTTGTCGTTGCTTTCGTAGATTCCTGTATGTACGCTCAAGTTAATAGAGAGAGAGAGAGATTGAGAGACACAAAAGAATTACTACTTTTTGTTAGTACTTAATCCCAAAACCAAATCCTGCCAACAGCAACGCCCGAGTGCAAAATCGCTTGTGTACAACGCCAACATTATATACCTTGGGATTCGTGCACTCACCAGGACAAAGCTAAACTAACCTCCGCCCTCTTTTCTTTTTAATAAATCATAAATGTACGCTTCTTCCATTAAGGTGTATGGGACTAAATACGAATATACGATTGGTCTTACCATGATGAGAGTAGGGAATGATTTTTTTTAAAAACCAGGCGTAGATGTGATCGCCGGGTCTGAGCTGCCACCGTTCTATACGGTTTGAGGCCACCGTCCCCCTGTCCATAAGGAAAAATGTGCAAGCTACTAGAGAAAATAACCGAAGGCAAAATGATACAGCATTCAATTAGGATGGAAGTTATATATATAGCCATCATGTTTATTCAGACCACGGATGGAATATATTTGGATTATGCGAATGCTGGCCAAGGCGCATCCGAATCTTTCGCTTAGAGAATACGCCATTATGAAAGTTGTATATAGTGATCGTATTTATTCCGATGGCTTATATTGGATTCGGCGTGATCTGTCCGAGGCTGAGATCGAGGCATAGGCCTCCTCCAATGGCTAGCGACATTGCCACCCAAAATTATAATTTATTCGTGAACGGTGCAAAAAGCAGTGTGCTAGCACGCCGGTCTCGCACGTTTCCATATGCATCCCTCCCTCTCCCTCTCTCCGCACATTTTCCGAAGCACTTGCCTGCATCTGTGCCTTCTTTCTCCTCCACGTCCGCTAGCGACATCGCCACCCTATTGGAGGAGGACTTAATATTATCATGTTGTGGCCGACAGCCTGGAGGTTGGTTTATCACAAATGAATTTATTCTCAGCGGCCTAGACATTTAAGCATTGGGCTGTCACAAATGAATTTATTCTCAACGGCCTAGGCGTTTATGCATTGGGTTATCACAAATGAATCTATTCTTAGCTAATTGACAGTTGTATTGCCATTCCTTTATGCTTTTCTTTGGCAAGCTTAATTCCCTTTATATGCTTGAATGCTACATTCTGCTTCCTTGCAGTCGGGCTAGGAATATATCCAAATGCTTTGGTGCCCCTTGATGATGGCAGAATAAAGAGCATCTACACGCGACGCACTCATGCGTTTCCTAGGAACCGAACCTAAGACCTCTTGCTCCATGCATAGCCTTCTTACCATCACACATACATATCACTTCTTCACTAGATAAGGGATATTATTCTTTTGTATTCACCTCTCAACTTTGAGTTGCGTATTTATTTGGTATACTCTAAGCAACCTCAATGGAAAAAAGTCATCAATTACAAAAGTTGCATATTTCATCGAGCTCTACAACTTTGGTACCAAGTAGTCAAAAATATATGTTGACAATGTGTTGGCGACCAGATTATAGGGACTTCACATCCCAAGTCCCAGGAAAATCAGTTCTCGGATGGACGCATGCACTAAAATGAATCGGGTTCTCTTACCAAGAACCCGACTCTATGTACCATTGTGGTAGTCCCAGAATTAATAGCAATCACGTACAGAGCTCATCTCAGCATAGTATCACATCCATATATCGATAAACAATGTATAATAACTTGTTACATCCTAAAATAATATGGAAATACGAATTTGATACAAGCCTCATGGGCTAACCGAATATAAAAGAAAATCCTACGTAGCGGTAGCTAGGGCATCGGGTCTCCTCCACAACCTTGACGTCTCCTCCATAGGCATTCCCAAGCGAAGTAATGCCATCTTCAGTCATACCACCCATCGTTAGGGGTGGGCATTCAGTTTTCGGTTCGATTCTTCGGTATTTGAAGAAATTTGGTTCCTAAAAAATAAGAACCCGGTTCTTATTTTCTAGGAACCGAGCATTTGGGCTTTCGATTAGGTTCCGGTTCTAATTGAACTAACTGAACTTTTAAGCAGAGGTGTCGGGTACTGTAACATCCCGGCCCAGGGCTTAACAGGATTAATAGGATACTCATACCAATAAGTTGCAACTTCTTTTCCAGAAGCCAATCTGCAAATAACTCCGAGGTTAAGCGTGCTTGGCTCGAGGCGATGGGTGACCGGCGGGAAGTTCTTCCCGGGGCACAGTGAGTGAGGACAAAGTCTTGTGAAAAGACTGTGTTGGTGCAGCGTGAGGCGATCTATATCCTAGAGAAGCTGTCAAATGTAAGCGAGCCCGGCCTCGGAGAGGCGGGACGTTACAGAATGGTATCAGAGCCGACTCTCGTGGTTTTACGGGCGCGTGTGTCACAGTTGCGTAGGCATGGTGCGCATGGCTGGTGTGGATCCGGCGTGGTCACACAGCATGGCACATGTGCTGGCTCTGGACACATGGACGTGGCCAAGAGAGGACGCTCCTGGCTTGGGATTGATCGACGAGGACGTCGATCTCTTAAGGGGGTGAGGATGTAACATCCCGGCCCAGGGCTTAACAGGATTAATAGGATACTCATACCAATATGTTGCAACTTCTTTTCCAGAAGCCCATCTGCAAATAACTCCGAGGTTAAGCGTGCTTGGCCTGGAGCGATGGGTGACCGACTGGGAAGTTCTTCCCGGGTGCACACGAGTGAGGACAAAGTGCGCAGAAAAAACCTATGTTGGTCTGTGAGGGCAGTCTATATCCTACAGAAGCTGTCAGATGTAAGCAGGCCCGGCCTCAGAGAGGCGGGACGTTACAGAAACTATGGCAGAACCAACCGAAATAGCGTACTTACAGAGGCGCTCGTCTTCCACCAGACACTAAGCACCCCGCAAGCAACTACAACGAGCGGTATCCGTCGGGCACACCCCGAGGGAGAACCCAAAAGATCCACATTTTTCCCAAGGATCCAATAATGAAAACGAGTTACAACACAAGTCCATCTCATACATTAGAGTTTCTTAAAAGTACATTATTACAATACCAAATACAGAGTTCGGAATGATAAACAGCGGAATATTAAAAGATAACATCTAGCGATAAGATAACGAGGATTTCGTCTTAGCCCACCAGAAGAATCCTCCACACAAGGTACTCCTCAAGCATCACCTGCAACAGGGGTAAGTAAACCCTGAGTACACAATGTACTCGCAAGACTTATCCGATAGTGGGAATACTTTCCCGACTCCAAGAAATATGCTAGGCTTTATGGTTGCTGGTTCTCTTTTAGCCAAAAGCAGTACTAATAGTGAGTCCTTATTGATATATTATTATCATCAGCCGTATTAAGTTTTTATCTATCCAATCTATATAAGCACCTGTGCTATTTTCAAGCAAGAGTTGAGCAATCGATACAGTTTCTTCTCCTTTTCCACTTCCAGTTCTTACTACGGTGCTAAACCGTAGACAAGCCGTACCGGGTAACCCGGCGATTCGCGAATCAATGTGCCCAGCTGGGTGCCCCGAAGACACATGCCCCGCTTGTACCCCGAGCACAAGCGGGACTAACCCACCACTCTCCTGTCCCAGGTGTCCAGGTCCCTGTCCAAACTTGGACTCCAAGCCCCCGCCTCTGAATCCCGGACTCAGTGCGGTGCAAGGACCTCCACCACCTCCTCTTCCCATCAGTCGGTCCGGAAAGAGCCGGATCCACGACAAGAGAGCAGCAAGTCTTCCCTGCGCCCATACCCAAGTATGTGCTCGGGATAAAAGTCTGTGACTTGCCTAGAGTCATATGCAACGACCGGTCCTTAATCGACACAGACAGGGAAAAAGTGTAACCGGGCTATGCCCTGTTGGCCGTAGGAAAAAACCCCTCACACCCACCAGTATCAAATCCACATCCCTGTCCAGTCACCATTTTTCCTTCCCATTATTTCATCATGGTATTATAGTGTAATCACCTATTTGCAAGTAACGTCAGGTTACTCATGCTACCGACATCCTGAGCATAGCAGCTACTCGACCTGCACTAGTAGGACTCAGGGTGGATATATCTATGCATGTAGTTTCCACAAAATGCCTGTAACATAAATGCATATCATATAAATATATTCAGTGATCATTTAAAAATAGGGGTTATGCACCGGGGCTTGCCTTGGGCAGGTGCCGAGTCAGCAAAGTCAGTACCAACAGGCTCCTGGGCTCCCTCCTGTGTGAAAAGCTCCTCCTCGTACTCCTCGATCACCTCGTCGTACTCCGGATCACCCGGGGTGCAAGAAGTCCACACTGATTCGTGATCTACATGAAATGACGATGCAATGATTACACTATGGCAACAAGACAATTCTCAATGCAAAAGTACCTCTATTACATTACTAAGCGAGGTCTTCCTACTAAAGTCTAAGCTATATACCAGTACTACTAACATGTATGACCGCGTCCTACATTCATACGATGACTACGGATATTCATACTCCTAATGCCAGTTTACGATAAAGCAAGGATAATAATTACGACATTAAACGACTCGTTCTATGGTTACCATTTTTACAGCAAGTATATAAATGCCTAAAGAACCTACGGTAACGATTTCAAAGCTAAAGTTATCGTCGGTTTACCACAACAAATCTTGCAATTAAAGATCGATATACCGCTAAGCTTTCTACTTCAAGCTTATGAGCCTACCATCCTAACCACTAATGGGGAACCAACTGTACTAACAGGTAGGCGACATTTTTGCGAACCTAACAAACTTTGTTTCGCTATTTTTGGACAACCATGCCATTTACTACTAATTATTGAAGTTCAGCTCATAACCTAAATAGATAAACAATTTCTAATACAATGAAATAGAGAACCCGAAACCTCCTTGGCCGGCCCACGACGCGTGGCCCGATTCAACTCGTCATCCCGCCCGCGCGCGACAGCAGCCAGGCGCGTGGCCCACGCGGAGGCGCGGCCCAGATGGCCAACGGCCCGCGAATGGGAAAGGCCTGCGCGCGTCGGTAAAAATGCACGAACACCCCCGACGAACTCAGCATTAGCTACGAGCTTTACGGTACTGTTTCGCTAGTCTACCGTTTTACACCAGCACCCTCCCACTTCTTCTTCTTCACCGCGAGGAGGTCCCTGGCCATCCAGAGCACGCACCGGCGCGACGGCGCGGCACTGGACGCCTACGTCGGCCACCCCGGCCGTCTCCATGCTAAAATAAAGGGCTGATACTCACCTACGTGCGAACGCAAACCACCGGGCGGAGACACTGGCGCCGAGACGTCGCAGCGAGCACGGACCACGACGGTGGGCAACCTGCAAGGACGGCGATGCCGTTCCGGTGAACAACAGCACTGCCGGGACAAAACACGGAGTGGACGAGTACCAGCGACTCACCACGGAACTGGAAGACGTGAAGAAGCGATCGGAGGTGGCTCAGGCCAAGCCGGCCACGTGCGCGCGATGTGTGCAGCAGAGCACGGCAATGGCACGGCCGCGCCACGAGATGCACTATGGCGGTAGGGTCTAGGATAGGGCGAGCATGGTGACAACTGACGGAAGGGGAGGCTAGTGGTGCGAGGAATTTGACCGAGCTGCTTTGGTGGCGAAGAAAGCCGACGGCGCAGCACTCTGGGTCTTAATGGCCCGAGAGCTCGGCCCTTCAAAATTGGCGCACAGGACAGAGCTACAGGCTGCTATGAGGGGCATGAAGGGTTACCGGCTGCCCAACGGAGCTGCGGGCAAGACCAATTGGAACGGGGTGCAACCGCATCGGTGAATTGGAAGGAAACGTGGCGGCGGCAAGGGGACAGCGGAGACAGAGGAACACCCGGCGCGGCATGGCTCGTATGCGGGCGTCAACGCAAGGTACCGCTGTGCCTGGCCATGGGGAACCCCAGGGC